CTGTAATTGTGAAGAGCTTCAAAGATTTGAATCCTCTGTCAGTTCCCTAATGTTTTTTTTTTTTTTTTGAGACGGAGTTTCACTCATGTTACCCAGGCTGGAGTGCAATGGCGCGATCTCGGCTCACCGCAACCTCCGCCTCCCGGGTTCAGGCAATTCTCCTGCCTCAGCCTCCTGAGTAGCTGGGATTACAGGCACGCGCCACCATGCCCAGCTAATTTTTTGTATTTTTAGTAGAGACGGGGTTTCACCATGTTGACCAGGATGGTCTCGATCTCTTGACCTCATGATCCACCCGCCTCGGCCTCCCAAAGTGCTGGGATTACAGGCTTGAGCCACCGTGCCCGGCAGTTCCCTAATGTTTTTAGATATGCCAACTCTTCAAAGAGATATATGTCCATGGTACCAGAAATGTAATATATACATCTAGGCTGATTATAACCCATTCATCTGCCTTTTTTTGAGACAGGGTCTCACTCTGCTTCCCAGGGTGGAGTGCAGTGGCACAATCTCGGCTCACTGCAACCTCCGTCACCTTGGCTCAGGCAATCCTCCTGCCTCAGCCTCCCAAGTAGCTGTCACCACAGACATGCATCACCAACCTGGCTAATTTGTTTCTTTTGTATTTTTGGTAGAGATGTGGTTTCCATGTTGCTCAGGCTGATCTCAAACTCCTGAGCACAAGTGATCCACCCACCTCAGCCTCAAAAAGTGCTGGGATTACAGGTGTGAGCCACTGTGCCCGGCCTGCTTTTTTTTTTTTTTTTTTTTTTTTTTTGCAACAGCTCTTACTCATAAATAGGAACTATTCTAGGTTGGGCACTTAAGTTTTCCTTTCCTCAACAAATTACAAACCCCCAAAAATCTACCCTCAAATATAAGTTTTAGTTTGACATCTTACCTCCAGCATCAGTAATCCTACGATCTCAGATGCTGTTTCTTTCTGCAAGTCCCCTGATTCCACCAACTGGATACAGTAAGTGTATATTTTATGTCTCCTAAGTGTTCCATCTTCCTCAGAGCAGGGGGAGCCTGATTATTTTAAACAGGGGTACGGAAACAAGGGAAGAAGTCTTACAAGATTGACAGGTAAATAAGAAAATGTAAAGGGATTAGACACTAATCTAAAAGCAAAGATTAGCAGAATTTTTTTTTTTTCAGATGGAGCCTTGCTTTGTCACCCAGTTTGGAGTGCAGTGGCACAATCTCAGCTCACTCCAACCTCTATCTCCTGGGTTCAAGAGATTCTCCTGCCTCAGCCTCCTGAGTGGCTGGGATTACAGGCGCCCACCACCATATCCAGCTAATTAATTCTTGTATTTTTAGTAGAGATGGGGTTTCGCTGTGTTAGCCAGGCTGGTCTTGAACTCCTGACCTCAGGTGATTTGCCGCCTCAGCTTCCCAAGGTGCGGAATTACAGGCGTGAGCCACCACACCCCACCAGAATTTTTTTTAAATCCTACTACATGTTGTTGAAGGACCACAGGAAATTTCACCCCAAAATATGGCTCCCTAATACAAGTATTTTGAATTAAAAATCCTCAGAGTTCAACAAGCCCTGGAAGAGACATTCCCTTCTCTATATAAAGACAGGACTGACCCACCAAGGAGAACAATTATTCTTGCTTTCCTCCCTACCATCTCATTAGCCATTGCTGGAAAGAAAAATGTACCACACATGAACAGACACTTTTCCAAGATAATGATTATCCCCAAGGTTCATTTAAATTCCAAAGAGAACTATTTACATGTTAATTTCTGACTTGATCCAGTCAATCTTCCTAGTCACCATTTATTGCTCAACAGAATTCCTCTTCTCCCTCTCCTATAACCTATTTTGGCAGGATACAAGTCCCCATTCTTTCTATAACTTTAAGATGGTATACAAACTTCTGGGCCCCATTGAGATACTGGGCAGTCACACTGCAATTCTCCCCATGCACACAGTTAAACAAATTTGTATGCCTTTTCTCTTACTAACCTGCTTTACTGTGAGTTGATTTTTCAGTGCATCTCTGGGGTGCCAAGGGCCTTGCCCACCACACTGTCTACCAGAGACACAATTTAAATGCAAAGACAGAAATAAGTGAAAGATAAAAGGATGGAAAAAAATAATGCCATGTAAACAGTAGCCAAAGAATGCCTGAATGGCTATACTAATATCAAAAAAAGCAGTCTGTGAACACCAAGAGTTCAAGACCAGCCTGAGCAACATAGTGAGACCCCATCTCTACAAAAATAATTAGCCAGACATGGTGGTGCACGCCTTAACTCCTAGCTACCTGGGGTGCTGAAGTGGGAGGACTGCTTGAGCCCCCGAGTTCAAGGTTGCAGTGAGCAGATTGCACCACTGCACTCCAGTCTGGGCGATAGAGCAAGACTGTGTCTTTAAAAAAAAAAAAGACTAAAATTGTTATTGAGACAAAGAAGGAAGGATATTTTACAATGATAAAAAGATTAATCCTTCATTAGGACTTAATAATTATAAACATGTATGCACTCAAAAAAGCTCCAAAATACACCAAACACTGACAGAATTGAAGGAAAAAACAGACAATTCAACAATAATCATTAGAAACTTCCATGTCCCACTTTTAATAATGAATACAACAACAGACAGAAGATCAACAACTTCCACTGTTGTTCTGGAAAACTTGAACACACTAGACCTAAAAGACATCTGTAGAACACTCCATCCAACAACAGCAGAATACTCAAGTGCACATGGAACATTCTCCAGGATAAACCACATATTAGCCTTTAAAACAATTCTTGATAAATTTAAAAGGACTGTAATCATACCATATATATTCTATAACTGCTGCGAAATGAAAGTAGAAACCAATAACAAAAGGAAATCTGGGGGATTAACAACTGTGGAAAAAGACAATCTTACCAACCAACGAATCAAATAACTACAGGGAAATTAGAAAATACCTTGAGATGACCAAAAGCAAAAAAACACGGCATGCCAAATGTTACCAGATGCAGCTAAAGCAGTGCATACAAGAAAATTTATTTTTATAAATGCCTTATATTAAAAAAAAGAGAATTATCTCAAAGCAACGACTATAAGGTCTTTTAGGCCAACTGATTGCACCATGAACAGCATGGTAACCTCTGTGACCTGCACATATATCCCAGATAAGTTCCTGGAAGAAAATTAACCCCTGTAACACCTAACTAACTTGGGACACTCTTCTATTGTTTCTTATTCCGGCCTCAATAGACAACGCCAAGGGACTTTGTAACCGACCTTGCTCAACCTCATGACTCCAGACCCTACGACCCCCTCTCAGCTTGCAAAAAACTGCCCTGAACTGTAACTTCCACTGCTAACCCCAAACCTATAAAACCAACTCCTAATCCCACCACCCTCTGCTGACTCTCTTTTTGACTCAGCCCACTCGCATCCGGGTGAATAAACAGCCATGTGCTCACACGAAGCCAGTTTTGGCGGGGGCGGGGAGGTCTCTTCATTCAGAGTACGTGTTTTAACAATGACCTAATCTACCGTAAGAACCTATAAAACAACAATTAAACTAAACCCAAAGCTAGTAAAAGGAATATAAAGGTTAGAGTGGACCTACGTAAAATAGAGTCTAACAACAGAGAAAAGCAAGGGAACCAAGAGTTGGTTCTTTATAAAGATGAACAAAATTGAAAAATCTTGGCCAGGCGCAGTGGCTCACGCCCGTAGTCCCAGCACTTAGGGAGGCAGAGGTGGGTGGATCACGAGGTTAGGAGTATGAGACCAGTCCGAACAAAATGGTGAAACCCCATCTCTACTAAAAATACAAAAATTAGCCAGGCGTGGTGGTGCACACCTATAACCTCAGCTACTCAGGAGGTTAAGGCAGGAGAATGCTTGAACCCTGGAGGTAGAGGTTGCTGTGAGCCAAGATCACACCATTGTACTCCAGCCTGGGCAACAAGAGCAAGGTTCCGTCTCAAAAAAAAAAAAAAAAAATCTTTAGCTAGGCTGACAAAGTAAAGGAAAATGACTTAAATTACTAATAACATGAATGAAAGAGGGAAATTGCTACTAACCTTAGAGAAACAAAAAGGATTATAAAGGAATACAAAAAACAATTATAGAACAATAAATTAGATAATCTATACGAAATGGACAATTTTCTTTTTTTAAGAAAGTGTCTTGCTCTGTTGCCTAGACTAGAGGGCAGTGGAACAATCTCGGCTCACTGCAACCTCTGCCTCTTGGGTTCTAGCGATTCTCATGGCTTAGCCTCTGGAGTAGCTGGGACTACAGGCATGCACCACCACACCTGGCTAATTTTTTGTATTTCTGGTAGAGACAGCATTTCGCCATGTTGGCCAGGCTTGTCTCAAACTCCTGACCTCATGTGATCCGTCTGCCTCAGCCTCCCAAAGTTCTGAGCTTACAGGTGAACTCCTGGCCCCAAGTGAGCCACCACTCCTGGCCTGAAACAAATTTCTAAAATGACACAAATTATCAAAATCAACTCAAGAAGAAACAAAATTTCAACAGACCAGAGAGAGATTGAATTAGTAATCAAAACACTTCACACGAAGGAAAACCCAGATGGCTTCAAGGGTGAAGTCACTAAATGTTTAAAAAAGAATTAACACCAATTCTTCACACTCTTCCAAAAAAACAGAAGACAAGGGAATACTTCCTAACTCATCTTATGAGGCCAATATTAGCCTCAAACCAAAACTAGACAAAGACATAAGAAAACTACAGATCATTAGCCCTTGTGAATACAGATGCAAAAAGCCTCAGCAAAATACTAGAATCCAATATTTAAAAAGGATTATACACCATGCAAAAAAGCAAAACTGAATCCAGCAACATTTAAAAAAGATTATATACCACAACTGAGCAGGATCAGTTTAATGTATGAAAATCAATGAAATATACCATATAAATAGAATAACGAATAAAGAAAGAATAAGTAAATAAATAAAATCAAGAATATACCACATGATCATCTCAGTAGATGCAGAAAAAGCATCTGAGGCTCCTGGTGCTTACCACTGGCTGTGTTCTTACACTGACTGCCTAGAAAGAGGAGACAGAGTAAACTTACCTCATACACACTTCCACCCAGGCCCTGTACCTGGTCTGTATTGTGAATGCAGGGGGACACAGAGTTGATGGGGTGGGGGGAAAGAATTTCAGAAACCCAATACTCTTTCATGATAAAACATTGAACAAATGAGGAATCAAAGGGAAGTTCCTCAACCTGACAAAGGGCACCTATGAAAAATTACTGCTAGCCAGGCACGGTGGCTCACGCCTGTAATCCCAGCAGTCTGGGAGACTGAGGTGGGCAGATCATCTGAGGTCAGGAGTCTGAGACCAGCCTGACCAACATGGAGAAACCCCATCTCTACTAAAAATACAAAAAAATTAGCCAGGCATGGTACTGCATGCCTGTAATCCCAGCTACTCAGGAGGCTGAGGCAGGAGAATTGCTTGAACCTGGGAGGTGGAGGTTGCAGTGAGCCGAGATCCTGCCATTGCACTCCAGCCTGGTCAACAAGAGCGAGACTCCATCCCCCATTAAAAAAAAAAGAAGAAAGAAAAACTACAGCTAACATCATACTCAATGGGAAGCTCTCTTCTAAGATCAGGAACAAGACAAGGGTGTCTATTTCACCCCTTCCATCTGTACTGCTGGTTCCAACCAGGACAAATATGTAAAAATAAAAATAAAAGTTATCTAGACTGGAAAAGAAGTAAAACTATCCTCTCTTCACAGATGACATTATCCTGTATATAGAAAACCCTAAGGAATCCACAAAAATGAAACAATTAGAGCTACTAAGTACAGAAGGTTGCAAGATATGAGTTCAATATACAAAAATTGCAGTTCTGCCGGGCGCGGTGGCTCATGCCTGTAATCCCAGCACTTTGGGAGGCAAAGGCGGGCAGATCACGAGGTCAGGAGATCGAGACCATCCTGCCCCAAATGGTGAAACCCCGTCTCTACGAAAAGTACAAAAACTTAGCCGGGTGTGGTGGCGCATGCCTGTTGTCCCAGCTACTCGGGAGGCTGAGGCAGGAGAATTCCTTGAAATCAGAAAACGGAAGTTGTAGTGAGCTGGGATTGCGCCACTGCACACCAGCCTGGCAATAGAGCGAGACTGTCTCAAAAAAAAAAAAAAAAAAAAAAAAAAAATGCAGTTCTTTGCACTACCAATGAACTATTACAAGACTGAATTAAGAAAACAATTTTGTTTCAAAAGCATTAAAAGGAATAAAGTACTTAGGAATACAGTTAACAAAAGAAGCACAAGACCTGTACTCTGAAAAGCATAAAATACTGTAAAACAAAATTAAACAGGACCTAAATAAATGGAAAGACATTACATGTTCATGGAATGTAAGACTTACCTTAAGATAGCAACACTTCTCAAATTCATGTATAGATTCAACACAATCCCTACCAAAACCCCAGCCTCCTTTTTGCAGAAGTCAACAAGCTTTTCTTAAAATTTATAAGAAAATATAAAAGACCTACAATAGCCAAAACAATCCTGAAAGATAAAAACAAGCTTGAAGAATTCACACTTCCTGACTGCAAAACTTAATACAAAGCTATAGTAATCAAGACTGTGTGGCACTGAAATAAGGAGAGACGTACAGATCAAAGGAACAGTACCGAAAGCCCAGATATAAACCACCTCATTTACCTGCAATTGGTTTTTGATAAGGGTGCCAAACGGGGAAGGAATGAAGTTGGACCCCTACCTCATACCAAATACAAAAACTAACTCAAAATGGATCCAATGAACTATATGTATGAGGTAAATCTATAAAATTTTTACTTTTGCTTTTTTTTTTTTTTTTTTTGAGACAGTGTCTCACTCTGTTGCTACAGCCTCAAGCTTTCTGGCTCAAGCGATCCTTCCACTTCAGCCTTCTGAGTAGCTAGGGCCACAAGGCCGTGCCACAATGCCCAGCTAATTTTTAAAATTTTTTGTAGAGATGGGGCCTATTGCCCAGGCTGCTCTCAAACTCCATCTAAGCTCAAGCAATCCTCCCACCTCAGCCTCCCAAAGTGCTAAGATTACAAACAAGAGCCACTGCACCTGGCCTTATAAAACTTTTAGAAGAAAAGATAGGTATAAATCTTGTGATGTTGAATTAAGCAATATTTTCTGAGATATGACAGCAAAAGCATAAGCTATAACAAAATACACAGCCTAGACATCAGCAGTAAAATAAACAAAGTACTGATATATATTTCAACATAGAGGAACTTTTGTAACAGCATGTTAAATGAAAGAAGTCGGTCACAAAGGACCATATATAGGACGATTCCACTAAATGAAATATCCATAACAGACAAATCCGTAGAGATAAAAAGTAGATTCATAGTTTCTTAGGACTGGAATAAACTAGGTGTTTGAAGAGGTGACATCTTAAGAGATGCAAACTTTCTTTTAGGGGTAATGAAATTGTTTTAAAACCAATTGTGGTAATGGATACACAACTCTGAATATACGAAAAGCCACAGAATTGCTCTTCCACTAAGTAGTGTACATAGGCAGCTGCTACTGATCTTTCGTTATTTCCTTTTCTCTGATATTTCTAGAAAATATTTAGCAAGTTTCCATACAGGTTGACTCAAGCAATCTTGAAAGTTCTTTCATGAATAGGAAGATGTGTTTTTGTACCCTTGCAGCAGAGATCTAATTAACTTGGGGGAGGAAAAATAAACCAAGTTAACATACCTAATTAAGAGTCCAAAGACACTTTTAATTTTTGCCTTGTACAATTTTATCCTACCAGAATTTATAAGACCACTTTGAGTCACAATCTGCAACAACTTAAACTAGCCCTTGGTTCAAGACAGGAAAACAAATACGTCAATCACTGGGCATGAAGAATCTCTACATAAGGCACCTTAAGATATCCCATTTCATTAAACCCCACAGGTCACTTGCTCCTTGTTAAGCATAGATTATGTATTAAACATTGCTGTTCTCTTCTCCACAATTTTAAAAGCACAAGTAAATCAAAGCAGATTTTATGAAAAGCACATTCTGTAATTACAGGCCCCAAAATCAGCAATACAATCTCAGGTAACCACTTCAACTCCCTTCAGTAAAATTATCTAAGTCCACTAGTGAGGAAACTGCTGCTATAGTTGATTCTGTGGAATCCTCAAAACATGGAAAATGTTCCAGTGGGGCTTCAAACAGTAAGAAATGTATCAAAACTCAACAAATCTACCAAGGAACGCAGGAGATAGATAGAAGTGACATTAATTATTATTACCTTTGAAGATTGCTCTCAGGAGTGCTCCAGCAACTTTTCCTTTCACTGCTTGATTCTGAAGGAGATTAGTCAACTGCAAAGAAAGAAAGAAAAACTCCAAGTTTCCGGCAACACTCTTTAATCCAATGACCTAAACACTCAATATGAAAAAATACTCTTCTGTCAGGTTCAGATCATTCAAGGATTACAAACACTGTAAGTTTTAGATAGAGCAGGATACATCTTAATATGATCCTTGATTGTCAAGACTGAGATCTATTCATACTCATTCTTTTTTTTTTTTGAGACTGAGTTTCGCTCTTGTTGCCCAGGCTGGAGCGCAATGGTGTGATCTCAGCTCACTGCAACCTCTGCCTTCCAGGCTCAAGCCATTCTCCTGCCTCAGCCTCTCAAGCAGCTGGTATTAGAGGCACCTGCCACCACACCCAGCTAATTTTTGTATTTTTAGTAGAGATGGGGTTTCACCATGTTGACCAGGCTAGTCTTGAACTCCTGACCTCCTGATCCACCCGCCTCAGCCTCCCAAAGTGTTGGGATTACAGGCGTGAGCCACTGCACCCAGCCTATTCATACTCATTCTATAAAGATTTGTGGAGTACTCAGCATAGTTGGGGACATACTTCAATCCAACAAATACATCTTGAGCATATTATTTTCTTTAGGCATGCTATAAAGATGAACAAGACAGACATAGTAATTTGACTCAGAGTTTACAATAGAACAGGAGGTGAAAGGATGACAGAAAAAAAAATCAGAAAAAAAATTATAAAAGAACCAAATAAGAGGCTGAGATAGACAGTAAGTGAGGAAAGAAAAGAAACTCTGTCTAGGGTAGTAAGGGGAAGCTTCTCTGAAGTAGGTGACATTTAAGTAGAGACTTAGAGGACAAGATTCTCCTGCCTCAGCCTCCTGAGTAGCTGGGATTACAGGCATGTGCCACCATGCCCGGCTAATTTTTTGTATTGTTAGTAGAGACGGGGTTTTACCATGTTGGCCAGGTCCTGACCTCAGGTGATCCACCAACGTTGGCGCCCCAGAGTGCTGGGATTACAGGGGTGAGCCACCGTGCTCAGCAAGAAGGCGCTAATTATTCAAAGGAGTTAGAGAAGGATATTCTAAACAGAAATATGATCATGTGCAAAGACCAAGAGGAAGCCAAGAGCTTGGCATATTTGAGACCAAAGACTTGTTTAAAGAAAAAAAAAAACAAAAAACAGTATGGCTGCAGAAGGGTAAAGAAAAGAGTAGCAGAAGATGAGTTTGAAGAGAAACAGAAAGGACCAGATTATGAAGAATCTTACAGGTCATGGCAGGAAGTTCAGCTTTTGTCTAAGTGCAATGGAAGTTACTAAAGAGAAAAGAAGGAAGTGAGATGACAGATTTTTAAAACACCATCCTTGCTCCTAGTGCAGAGAATGAGTTATGGGGGTTTGTGAAATGGGGATATCTGTTAGTAGACTGCTACTGTGTTTAAGAGAGAGATGATAGTGACCTAGACCAAAGTAATAGAGGCACTATGAGTTGTGTCCTCCCCACACCCCAAATTTCATATGCTGAAGTTCTAACCCCCCCATGGTTCCGAATGTGACCTGATTTGGAAATTGGGTTCTTGTAGATGTAATTAACTGAGGTCATTAGAATGGGCCATTCAGTCACTAGTCCAATGACTGATGCCCTTAAAAAAGGGAACTCTGGACATAGAACATAAACAGGGAGAATGCCAGGTGAAGATGAAAGCAGAGCTCAGGTGATACAAGCCAAGGAATGCTAAAGGTTACCAGCAACCCATCAGAAGCCAGGCGAGAGACACAGAACAAATTTCCACAGACCTCAAAAGGAACCAAGCCCAACAATACCTTGAT